CCAGGAAACATGATTCCTGGCTGCATATCAAAATCCATGGACCACTGGATCTTTGGTAAGTTGTGAACACTGTATCGAGTCCAACAACCTTTGGACCAACTGAATATCATTTGTTTTGCTCATGTTTTCACAGCTTCCCAATTAAATTTAGTCATGCAGCAGGCTCTTTTGCCACTCAGTCTGACTGAGGAAGCATGTTCTGGCGGGAAAGTGACGTCATTGCATACCCTCTATTCACCTCAGTTGTCTTCCATGCAATTTCAAAAATTTCAACTCGACTGGAAAATTCACTTGACGTGTTGTCGCACAAGCCAGTCAGAGAAAAGCTTGTTGACATATCCGGCTGTATCAGATTTTATTTTTATGAATGTCTTTGTGATTTTATTCACGCGAGTGATGCAAAAACATTCCGCATGTAATCTAGAGCAAGTAACGCGATGAAAATATTTGCATCGCTTTTGATGTGCACACACCATAACAATGGACTAGTGAGTAGATGAGTCTTCCTGTTCATTGTTTTCAAGTTTAACATCTTTGACAACATCTGAAGTGTCATTTAGCTACTTGTTAAGAATGCCTTTTTCAATACAAGTAGAAGCTTTAAAAAAATCACAAGGGAGTATTACTGATGTATTTTATGTCATAGAACAAAGCATGAGCATATCTTGCGCTTGTGTTAACCATTCAGGCATTTAACCAAAATCCATAAAAAAAAATGGAAGTGCTAAAATGCTAACTCATTTCTGGGTTTTTTGGCTTGCAAAAATACATCACCCATGCAGCACTCTATTTAGATTATGAAGTAAATTTGTCTCATTGTAAGCCATTTCAAAATTGTCATTTGCAGGCTTGTAAAAATGAAATTTTGATAATGAACATAAATATGAATAGGCTATAAATGTATCTTTGTGACTGCTTCTTAAAAATCCTTATCCATCATGATCCTCTTGAAAAGTCATGGAAAAATCATGGAAATGCATAATGGCTGGTTAGCACGGGAGAGAAGATGCTATAACTATACATTCTGGGGGAAAAAATAAAAAAATAAAAAAAAAATAAAAAAAAAAAAAGGTAACATATTTGAATTCAGCGATCAAATCTGATCAAATCATGCAAAGTGTCAAGATTTCTCCCATTAGTTTTTCTACAAGTGGTCCATTTCCTCCCTTTTATAATGTCTCTGGTTTAGACTACATTTATTCACCCCTGTGCATAATGCTGCACCTGACTGCATTTTCAGCATGTTTCACTTGCTTTGCCCTGCTGGGAAATGTGCCTGTGAAGTCATGGCAAAAAATAAGATGTATAAAATACATTCAGCAGAAAATCAGCTGCTGTAATGATAACACTCAGCGACTAAGTTCTTAAGTGGGACAACAAAACTGTTTATCTAAATAATTCCAAACTAACATGGGAAATCTACAGATAAAAGCACCAAACCTATAAGATTGGATTCATGTGAACTACTATGAAAACTTGTTATTACCTATAATAATGACCCTTCAGTGGTGTAACCTAACGTAGTCAACTCAAATTAAACAATGTTATATTGTTCACTAATTATTTTAAAGAAATTAATTCTTTAATTCAGCAAGGATGCATTCAATTGATCAAAATCACAAAAAAAAACATTCTGTTTCAAATAAATTTCCATTTTAAATTTCAAATAAATACTGTTCTTTAGATCTTGATTTTCATAAAACTATCTTTAAAAAACTGTTTTCAAACCTGATAATAACAAATTAAGAAAATTAGAATGATTTCTGAATATCATGTGACATTGAAGACTGGTGTGATGACTGCTGAAAATTCTTTCTATAAGAAATACAGAAAAATTGAACACACCTGTTTGAAATTGTAATAATATTTCACATTGTTACTGTTTTTTTAATCAAATAAATGCAGTCTTGGTGAGCATAAGATACATCATTCAAAAATAAAATCTATTTTTATAATATTTTATAATTTATTTGATTTTTTTATATTTTTATTTATTGTAGAAATAAAAATAAATACAATTAAAGCATTTAATTGTGCAGTGTTGCCAGATGAAACACATTTAGGTTATTTTACAAACATTTTTCATTGTAATAATGTCATATTTTCATCCCCATCAAAAAGATTTAGCTTAGATTTGTATTGTAAGCTTGCATTGGGATATGATCTCTGACGCAATGGAATAGGACAAGAACAGTGCACAACAAAGCAATAAGGGATGCATCTTCATCTCATAAACAATCTATAACAACATCTTGTTAACAGTATTGAGGGAGTAAAGCCAATAAGCATGGAACGCTCTGCTCACATGGGGGTCGGTACTGTATGCACGACTGCTCAAAAGGAGGTCAATCAATCGGTTTGACACCGCACGGTTCAGTTTGCATCTGCTTGATCAGTGCAGACATAAAGAATATTCCATAACCACAGGGCACATGAGCTGTACTACCAAAACAGAATGACTCTTTTTCTGTAAAAGTGCCGGTAACTGCATAACTACTCAGAGTGGCTGCAATGTGTCTTGCAATGCAGCTTTAGATCAAATGCAATAGATCAATTGGTGGCGTTGCATTTCACATAACCAGAGGGAACAGCACATTGTGCGTTCATCACAGTGAATGTGTGCTCAGCTAACTGTGAGTTTAGTCAGCCTGCTTCATCCTGGCATTGAATGACTCCTCTGTTCAGGCCCAAAATGATTTCCAAGCAGTCTTACTGCAGTACTTTCTAATGTATGGATAGTTTGACAGTGGGAAAAAAAATGAATTTGTGAAATATATTCATGACAAAATGCATCAGTGAAAATATTGGAAACACTCTCATGCATCAAAATCTAGCTTGACTACAAATCAGAAATTACATTCTAGCATAAAAAGTAATGTTGCGTGAATATCAAAACTAAAAAAAGATGCAAACTGGATTGTGTTTGCTTTAGAGCTGAATAATGAGCAGCACGGCAGCATCACATTGAGGTGTTTGGCCAAAGCTGATCAAGTCATATATATTCAGCTCATGCCAATCTATAACAACATCTTGTTAACAGTATTGAGGGAGTAAAGCCAATAAGCATGGAACGCTCTGCTCACATGGGGGTCGGTACTGTATGCACGACTGCTCAAAAGGAGGTCAATCAATCGGTTTGACACCGCACGGTTCAGTTTGCATCTGCTTGATCAGTGCAGACATAAAGAATATTCCATAACCACAGGGCACATGAGCTGTACTACCAAAACAGAATGACTCTTTTTCTGTAAAAGTGCCGGTAACTGCATAACTACTCAGAGTGGCTGCAATGTGTCTTGCAATGCAGCTTTAGATCAAATGCAATAGATCAATTGGTGGCGTTGCATTTCACATAACCAGAGGGAACAGCACATTGTGCGTTCATCACAGTGAATGTGTGCTCAGCTAACTGTGAGTTTAGTCAGCCTGCTTCATCCTGGCATTGAATGACTCCTCTGTTCAGGCCCAAAATGATTTCCAAGCAGTCTTACTGCAGTGCTTTCTAATGTATGGATAGTTTGACAGTGGGAAAAAAAAATGAATTTGTGAAATCATAATATATTCATGACAAAATGCATCAGTGAGAATATTGGAAACACTCTCATGCATCAAAATCTAGCTTGACTACAAATCAGAAATTACATTCTAGCATAAAAAGTAATGTTGCGTGAATATCAAAACTAAAAAAAGATGCAAACTGGATTGTGTTTGCTTTAGAACTGAATAATGAGCAGCACGGCAGCATCACATTGAGGTGTTTGGCCAAAGCTGATCAAGTCATATATATTCAGCTCATGCCAACATGACACCACAATGCTGCGTCCTCACCCTCCTTCCATGCCCGCCTGTGCTGCATTACTTCTGGCTGTTACCCCAGCGAGGAGTAATGTCAGTACACAAGGACAGTTTTCTCTCATTCATGGGCCTGACAGCACTACCAGCTAATGCACATCCCATCCACTGCCACTGGACTCCACTTTTCTCAAATTGCACTGTATATATGAATAGAGATGTGCTTTACGCACTCTGTGACAGAGGGGAGACTGGGGTTGGTTGTCATATGGGGACATTAGTATCTTCAAAAATGTGCTTTCTCTAGCAGTGGATTCAGAAAGCTAGCTTAAAATCTGGAGAATGAGAATAATTTTACAATTCCAATATATATTTAAATATAATACAATAATACAATTCAAAATAAATGTCATTGTATTTCAAAATGTATTTTATTTTCTTGATAGCATGAAAATATTAAGACGTTTTTCTTATTATTATCAATGTTGAAAACATTTCTGCTGCTTAATATTTTTGTGGAATGTATGTATGTATGTATGTATATATACTGTATAACTATATAATATTTTATATGTATTTTATATGTATGGAGGGCCAAATTACTCAAAATTAAATTATTAAATAAATGTTGAAATATATAAAGAAATCGTTAAATACATAATTAAATAATTAAATGCATAAATAAATGCATAAATATTTATTCATTTATTTATTTATTTATTCGTTCGTTCGTTCATTCATTCATTCATTTCCTCCACATCATATTTTCAGGGTTGCAGTTGTCGGGACGTGCAAAAAAATAAATGAATGAATGAATGAATACATTAATTAATTAATTAATTAAGGAATGAATAAATAAAGGAATTAATGAACTTTAATTTATTAATGAAATTACTTTAATGAAATTAATTTATTTATGCATTTAATTATGTATTTAACAATTATTTAAAACCCTATAATAGGCTATTAATTGACAACATGCCCTGTTTGTTAAAGTTGGAAATGTTCAGTTCAGTTCAGTAGCTTTGATGTGGGCAAGACTTTGGTGTCTATACAGAAAATGAATGACCATAAAATAAACCTATTCTGAGAAATATTAATGTGTGAGTGACTACTAGCCTCAATCTCCCCTACTGCCTTTCTGGGATCAATCATGTGTATCTACCAGACTATTTATCCATGGATCTGTAATCCCACAGAGCTCTTACCTTCAGTCAGGCCTATGTTGATGCTCCAGTAACTCTGCAGACACTGCATTTCCTTCTTCATTCCCCTCTTGCAGCGGCAGTCGAACAGAGCCATCTCCTGCAACACTTCCAGGGCTACCTGGCAATCCCTATTGGCCAACATGGTGTTCCTGTCCTTGCCTGCCAGACACTGCCTCAAGATCCTGAAGCGATGGCTGCACTTTTGGTCCTGGTTACACTTCTCGGTGGCTCTTAAACAGTCCATTGACTCTTGGTGCCCAGACTCAGATAGAGCGGAAGAGCCCGACATGGAGAGCACAAGCTCATCTATGAAGGAGGGTGGAGAGGAACGGAAGTTTAGGTATTTATTTATTTATTTTTACATACTGTATAGACTGATGCCCCATTAACACTAGTCGTCAACAGAATAACAGAATAAAAGTTGAACAAATCTTTATCTCTGACAAATGAATCTATAAAGACATCAGTGACTGCATCCACTCATTTTCTCATTATAAAATATTATTTTAGTCGATGACTAATACAGCCAAAGAGTGCAATTTAAAGATCATCAAGCCAGTGGCAATGACCAGATAACTGTGAAACCATTTTAATGGCTCACAAGGATCACTTGACAGCTCAGAATGGTGTCAAAGCATGAAAAAACATCCCTTGAAGAGTAAAATATCATATACATCACACAAAAGACTTCTAATTAGCATGACATGAGTCACCAGTAAATAACAGTCTTTTTTTAGTATTTGTTAAAAATTGGTTTAATTGGCAGCTGGCAAATGCTCTTTATACCTTCCTCATATTAATGCTTTATTATTGCTTTTTTCACAATATTAACCTTTTACACTTCTTTCTATGTGCTTTGACAGCGACAGATAATTGTTTTGTGCATGTATGCTTATTATTTTTGGTCATGGGATCATTATAACGGAGGTGCAACCCACCAGTGACACCTACAGGTGTAAATACATCAGCATACTTACCAATCTCTTTTTTATTTTTTTTATTAAAACTGTTCAGAGCACATCAGAACCAGAATGAAAGATTCAGACACACCCTTGGACAACGACTCACTGACGAATGCTTTGCATATTTTTCAGAAATAAAAACACTGAGAAATAGCCCACGGCGAGATGCTCTAAGAATGCAAATGTGAAAAGAACAAAATCTGGAAAGTAGTTAGATAACACTTTACATTATATTTTAATATAGATATCAATATTACCCACTGTAGTAAGGAGATTTCACATCATCACTTATAATAACACTGCAACATTAACATTAATTTAAAGCATAACTGGCGGTTGAATATCTATATCAGAATGTCTGAATGATTAATATGTTCTGCAGACTCTTTAAATATTCAGCTTAAGTTTCATCATATGGTGCGCAGAAAGGATCAAGTCTTGTGGCCAGTGATAAATCTACAAAGTGACCTTGATAAAGCTCACCTTTCCTATACGGTGGTTCATTTTCTATGCACTGACTCTTAATGAATGGGATTTGAACTATAGGACATTCATTAGATAACAATTAGCCGTCATGTAAAACTATAAAATAACGTGATCAGTTACCTTGAATGAAACGCAGCTCATGTTAATCATGCATTACATAATTACCATCAATTTAAATATGCGAGTTTCACGAAGTGCCAAGTTCATATGTCTTCAGTTCCCATCTCCATAAATGAAAACGTGAAATGTAATGAATGAATGCCGTTGTTTTTCTGCTCGTTATCGAACTTGACCTCATCATTTCACATAACTTCATAAACTATCATGGTATCAGATATGCAGTGTAATTCCTTAATTTCATTATCGCATTCGCTTGAGGAAAGTCAATTTAAATAAAATTAACCTAAAGATTCAGTTAAATTAAATAGCATGAGCAGATTTTGCTTTCAGTTCGTCTAAATAAAAAGGCTAAATCTCGCAAAAATGCTGTGAATACAAACAAATACTTACCTAAAAAGAGCAGAAAGCCGTAGAAATAGATATACATATTTCTGTTTCTGATAGAGAGTCCGCGTGCGTTAAAAGGTGCCGTTCGTGCTGTCATACGTTCCCTCCAACTGACTGTATTCTGCTTAGTCCTCTTAAAATACCGATGCTGCTCTAAACGCTCTATGACCTTAAAAATCCCAAATTGTATCCAGCGTTTGTCGGACCATGATTATTTTTCCCGTCTAAATAATCCAAAGCCTCATATAAAGAGGGAAAAGTTCTCTGTTCCGCTCAGCAGGGTAACTAAACCCCAGGTCTCCGTAGGAACCGTTTATTCGTGGTGGTTTCGTGTGGACAGACGCATATTTCCCAGTGCTGATGTTCTACTATCGCAAAGGACGCAAAATAGCAACGTCTGGCTCACTAAAGCAAAGCTCCTCTATAGCATATTCCCACTCCCGTTTATCTCCGAAATGAAATTCCCAAGCAACGGCAGTGAGAAACTTCAGACGGCGGAGCTCTGCGGACAGACTTCTGTCTCTGGCGGAGGCAGCTCGCTCCTGCGAAGCGAAGTATAAGCGAGCGCATCCGCGTGCGTTAAAAGGTGCCGTTCGTGCTGTCATACGTTCCCTCCAACTGACTGTATTCTGCTTAGTCCTCTTAAAATACCGATGCTGCTCTAAACGCTCTATGACCTTAAAAATCCCAAATTGTATCCAGCGTTTGTCGGACCATGATTATTTTTCCCGTCTAAATAATCCAAAGCCTCATATAAAGAGGGAAAAGTTCTCTGTTCCGCTCAGCAGGGTAACTAAACCCCAGGTCTCCGTAGGAACCGTTTATTCGTGGTGGTTTCGTGTGGACAGACGCATATTTCCCAGTGCTGATGTTCTACTATCGCAAAGGACGCAAAATAGCAACGTCTGGCTCACTAAAGCAAAGCTCCTCTATAGCATATTCCCACTCCCGTTTATCTCCGAAATGAAATTCCCAAGCAACGGCAGTGAGAAACTTCAGACGGCGAAGCTCTGCGGACAGACTTCTGTCTCTGGCGGAGGCAGCTCGCTCCTGCGAAGCGAAGTATAAGCGAGCGCACGTGCCCCCGTTACGCACTCCAGCCCACATGTTAAATGATCCGGCGACGGATGAGTTAATCAAAACGCGCACAAACGGGGAGTCGAGCAGACTCAACACACTATGGCTAATTAATAAGTTTTAGGGCAAAGTATAAATGCAACTTTTGATAAGAGGTCATTAACTGCTCTTGCAATTGTGTAACTACTATACAAATGGAAAGATACCCATCTGTGAGCATTCAAGAAAGACTTGTGGTCTCACCGCCTGGCTAGGCTGATCTGTGGCTGGTTTTAAAGGGGTTTGGGGCAATTTTCAGCTCCTCCGGCCGGATTAAAATTGACCAATAAGATAAATTACTTAGGAACAGATACTTGTGTCATGAGTTTGAAGATTCACAGGTCTCTAGACTAGAGATGTCATATCATCATCATCACAAGTTAATGCATGTAATCATCTGATATAGCTAGTCACACAGTGTGGGAAAACATCATAATTAGGCTATTTGCAAGTCTGATGTAAATATTGCAGGGAGACCAGAACCTGACGTCATGTAAAATGTGCCTGCATTTCTAGAAACAGGTGTTTATTGGATCTGGTTACGCTAATATGGATTTCACAAGTCAGTGAACCCTGGCCAAAGACAAGTGTATAGTTTGTTATTCCTTGGATGACTCGGCAGTGTTTGGTTATACTAAGGAGTCAAGGTTTCGCAGCTTAACATGGCCCTGTTAGGCCCTGTAGATAATTAATCATCTTTAATAATGTGAAATGGACATTTATTGAATTTATTTTTGGAAAGAATTTATTTAGAACATTCTTGGTGCCATCATCCAATCACAATTGTCATGCCGGCACTATCCTGTATCTCTAGATGCATTTGCAGGTAGCATTTACTGAATAGTTCAGAGGATGGGCCAGATTTTTTTGGCTCAAAAAAAAAATCTGGCAGAAACGAGTGCCTAGGAGAAAAGATGCCATATTTCAAACTGCATACTGTACGTCTGGAGGGCCATGGACCAGCTGAGCTGGTGTCATTGAGATAAATGGGAGTGTTAATGGATGGCTTTCAACAGGTCTTACTGACCTCCTTGAGTTCTAAGTCACTTATAGGGTTATAATAGCTTTTAAAATTTCTACCGATTCTTTCTATGACATTTAAGGCTGGTAAACAAAGATGAAAGAGGTGAGAGTAAAGGAGAAATGTCAGTTTTAGTCTAAGAGTCCAAGTAAGTGGCACCATTACCCAATTTTATTGGACCAAACGGCCAACAATACAGTGCACGCCTTTATACCTTTATAGTCTTGCATAAAAAAATACAAAAAAATGTCTTTCCCCCCACATACAGGTATCTCTCTAAATAGTAATCTGTGTGTCTGTCCTATGTGGCACCTTCAGTGATCTCCTTAACCTCAAAGGTCAAAGGATCTTGACAACAAACCACTGCCTGTTCACTGATGGCATTTATAATCCATATGTACAATGGAAACACAAGCTTACGAAAACGACTTTAAAAGTAGTATTATAATGCATTTTATATGCGTTTAGATATAATAAATACAGACTTCTAAGTATTTTAAGTGAAAATCCCATTTTTGTCTCTTAGATCAGGGCAATCTCCTAAGGCAAGTGTCACTCTGGCAACTTTTATCCTGTGCTACCGAAATGTCGATGTTGTGACATTTTCCCCTTCAGAGGATTCCTCTTAAACTCTCACAAATCTTCAGACACTATTACAAGTTTGAATGAGACAAAACACTAAAGTGTGTTTAGCTTCATCGCATTTTATCTTATACTAATACAATCAAAGCTGTTTTTCTGTTGTTGTTGTTACTTTAAAATACAGTGCACATATAGCAGTTTTAGGATATTTTTATGTTTTTGTCAGTTTTAGAGCCTTAGTTTGGACATTCAACTCCTTCCAGGTGCCACATACAACCAAAACGTGATTAATTAATGAGCATTAATTTCAGTTGAACATTTTTAAGTTTATCCTTGGATAAAGTGATTAGACAAGTTTGAAATGGGAACTAGAGCAATGTTTTAGTGGTGCCGAGTAAAAACCACTAGTGTGCTGTTTCTTTAGAGAGTGTGTGCTCAGATTAACCTCTCCAGCAGCAGGCAGCATATGCGGTGTACTGTTAAAGTTGTCGTTCATTGCCTTTTCAATTACTCCCATCACAGAGAAGAGAAGTTCACGAGAACAAACATTGGCTGAAGGATTAGATAATAATGCTAAAATACCCTCTTAATGTCCTCAAATTTCATAAGATAAGATGGAATTTCCCAGTGTTGTGGGAGGAAAGGCTGCTCATCAAAGGCTGTATAGATCACTTGGCATAATAGTCTCACTATATGTCACTGGCTGAACACATTCCAGACCGCTCATTAATCACAGAGCAGCTCTATTGAAAGACAAGACAACGGACTGGTGAAAAATGACCTGGCTATAAGTTGATGATGAAGACATGTACATGTTGCTGTCAAGCCCCTTTTTCTAATACTCGAGTTGTCTTCCAAGTTCAGTTGCAAAAGTGCCAAGGGTTCAGCCTGACTGATGGGCCGGCTGTCACTCTGGGATTTTGCTCTTTTCACAGATTCTAGCAATGAGAAGCTAAAGCTGGCATTGCCGGTTCTGGGTTTGGACCTGCTGCATCATCGTTCATCTGGTTTTTGATTTTAATTACTGTCTTTTTTCAATCCCTCTGGTGTCTAATCTGTCAGACTAGCAGCGCCCTTGGTTAGGCCAATGTCCTTCATTTCAGCATGGTAAGAAACCCCACCGATTTGGTGCCATTAAGCCTCTGTTGGGTCTAGTGAGCCACCGAGCCAAATTTAGACCTCGCCAGCAGACTCACAAGGGGATTACACACCGCCAAGAGGGAAAGTAGATGTTCTTTGATGTTGCAGAAAACACCTTCTGGCTGTGTTGCAGTATTTGTGGGGAATCAGTTTTATTATATTTCTTTCGTTTTTGGGTGCGAATGGACTTTCAGCTTAATGGCAAAGCTTGTTTACAAGCAGGCACGCTCAGTGAGAATTTCCCAAAATGTAGTCGGTGCACTGGGAATAATCTGTTGTATATTAATGTTGGAACAGCTGCTAGCAGGCCAGAAACGTTAGCGATGCTAGCGCCATCCCAGTCAGTGGGTTAGTTTAATCTGCAGATAAGTAGGAATGTTTGCAAAATGCCTTTGGTTTGATATCAAATCTGTGTTACACAAGCTTTTGAAAGCAGATAAAAATAGAGAGCATGTAAACAGACACCCGTATTCCTATGTGTATCATATTTCTTAGAAATATAATCATGTCTAAGCTGTAGAGCTGCCATCATGCCAAAGTCATTTATAGAGGCCTTGTCAACTATCCATAGATGGGTCAAGGACGTCCAAAAACAAGACAAAAAAAAGTAATTTAAAATATAGAGTTTAAAACAAGTTCCAAGTTGTTAGAAGTGTACAATTTGTAGTCGTGTTGGAATCATGTGGTTTTCAAACACTGTTATACCATTTTCAAGAAAAAATGAACTGAATGACTTCAAAAATAGCATATGATGTAACCAAGTGAAAAAAAGTAAAATATTTCCTGTATGCCTTGAAAACATGTACAGTCTTTCTCAAGATTTATTTATTTATTTATTAAAAAAGAACAATTACAAAAGATTTCTATTTCTATATATTTTGTACTCTTGAACTTTCTGTTCATCAGAGAACCTTGAAAAGAAAATGTATTTTAATGGTTTCCACAATAATATGAAGCAGCACAACTGTTTACAATATTGATAATAATAAATAATGTTTCCTGAGCAGCAAATCAGCATATTATAGTGATTTATGAAGGATAATGTGACACTAAAGATTGGAGTAATGATGCTAAAAATTCAGCTTTGCGGTTACAGAAACAAATAGAATTTTAAAATATATCTCAATAGCAAATTTTTAATTGTAGTGTATTCTAATTTTAATGTGTAGTTTTAAAATGTAGTTTTTATCAGATAAATGCAGCCTCAGAGAGCTCATTTAAAAAAATAAAAATAAATAAAATCTTACTGACCCCAAACTTTTGAATGGTAGAGTATGTGGAAATAATGTCCTGAATTATTAATTCATAAATAGACTTTTTGATGAGTCATGCCACATGACATTTTACAATCTGAGCTAACATTTCTATGTCAAATTACTGTATAGTATCTGATATTTTAAGAGATGCACAGTCATGAGCATCTGCAGGGGTCCATTCAGTGATTTCATTTACAATAATAATAATAATAATAATAATAATAATAATAATAAAAAAGTATGTGAAATTTTTCTTTAATAAATTAATAGACCGAACAAAAAATGACTTGAGCCATAATCTTATGTTTCACTGCATAGTATTTTCTGACTCCAGAATGAAGCCCTCTTAACCAGTCCTGCACCAGACCAATATAATCATTTAGCAATTTCATAAAGGCAAAATGCAATCAGGTTC